TTCTTCCTATAACACCAAAGTTCATAAGGTTAACTCCATAAGATTACTATTGGTTTTCACCACATAGCTATTTACTGAAGGCTGATGTAAGACCCTACTAAATTATACTGTCTTATTATAACAGGTTAAGCAGTATTCCTCAGGAAAATTCCACATGTGGCTTGAACTTGGAAAGTCAATCTCCTGGAATAAATACCTTAGCAAAATCTGCAGAAACAAGGTAGAAAGCCCATTCTAGTTACTGTTGACAACTGTCACCCAGTTAAAGACACTGAGATGTTGATTCAGGGATATATGCCTCCTGAGTTTGAGTGGACCAAGCCAGACAATTTGTGGTTAGTGGTCTAGAACAAACCCCCTTGATATACAACTTCCAAAGGAAAAGGTTTCCCAGAAACAGATGATTTCATGCAATATAGACTGGTAAGTTTTGTTCAGAGTTTTTTTTTCAGGGGGGCTAGGCAATGGGGTTAAGTGACTTGCCCAGGGTCACTCAGCTAGTAAGTGTCAAGTGTCTCAGGTCAAATTTGAACTCAGGTCCTCCTGACTCCAGGGCTGGTGCTCTATCCCCTGCATCACCTAGCTGCCCCCCAGTTTACCCTTATTAATAACATGTTGTTTCTTTCTGTCTCACTTACCTTTTTATATCTCTTGTGAGTCTTGTATTTGAAGATCAAATTTTCTGCTGAGCTCTGGTCTTTTTTTATCAGGAAGGTTTGGAAGTCTCCTATTTTGCTGAATATCCATCTTCTCTCCTGAAAGATCATGCTCATTTTCGCTGGGTCCCACATCTTCTCCAACATTTATCATTTTCCTGTTTTGTCATGTTAGCCAATGTGGTAGGTGTGATGTAGTACCTCAGACCTGTTTTAATTTGCATTTCTCTAATCGAGAATGATTTAGAGCATTTTTTCATATGACTACAGATAGCTTTAATTTCTTCATCTGAAAACTGCCTGTTCATATCCTTTGACCATTTATCAATTGGGGAATGATTTCTTATAAATTTGACTCAGTTCTCTATATATTTTAGAAATGGGTCTCCCCAATTTTAATAATTGGCTATTAATATGAGAGAGAGATAATCATTTCTCTCAAGAGACTACATATATGTCATCTGTGGAACTGTGAGATACATATGCTCATCACCTACTGGGTGGATAAATCAACTGTCATATACCTGACTGTCTGTATCCTGTGCTGGCATGTTCATCCTGTGGCTAAAGCTCAAAGATCCTGAAAATTTTTGCAACAATCCTCACAACAGTGTTCCAAGGTAAGTGCTATTATCATCTCCATTTTATAGATGGGGAAACTGAGGCAGACAAGTGACTTGTCCAAGGTTACACAGCTTAGTGTCTAAGATGGGATTTGAACTTATATCTTTCTGACTTCAGGCTGGGCATTCTATCCACTTCACCACCTAGCTGCCCCTGCCCTCAATGGACTTACTAGTATGGGAGACAAGGTCTATTTTTACGGTCCATAAACAGCTAGGAAAAGCAATGTGATGCAGTGGAAATCACCCTTGATGTGGAGTCAGGAGATATCAATTCTAGTATCATCATTTTTTGTCAGTGTGATTGACTACAGTCCAGATTCCTTAGCTAGACATTCAAATCCACTGCTCTTCAACCTCATCTCAACTTCCTTTTGCAGGGTTAGCTCCTACTGGTCCCACACAGTCTCCTCACTGTCTCTCAGACACATCTTGAACTTGTGTTTCTCTGCCTTAGCTCAGATAGTCAGTCTCTCCACTCCTGGACCTGCCCATCATTCAGGGCCCTGTTCCACCAGGACTAACCCAGAGCCCTCCAGCCCACAGAGATGTCTTAGCCCAGTGAATTGAAGAACCTCAGGGCTGGAAGTGACTTCTGGGATACTTCCTTTAACCAGTACTTTAGGACTCTCCTCTACAATATCTCTGATAGCATTCTCTGCTTAAATATCTCAAACGGCAGTTAAGTCAGCACCTCCTGAAGCAACCCACTCCATAGTTGGACAGCTCTCATTGTTGGACATCTTTCCTTATGTCGAGTTGTAATCAGCCTCCACGCTGTTCCTAGTTCAGCACTAAACAGGGCAAATTGAATTCCTCCTTCACTTTGATGGCACTTCAAAAATTTGGACAGTGATTCTGTCTCCAAGTCTTTTCTTCCCCAGGCTAAACAATTCCAATTTTCTCAGTCATGCTTTTCTGGCTTTTTCTGTCCTCATCTTTGTCTCTTCCTTATGAATGTGCTCTGGCTTACGTGTTCTTCCTGAAATATGGAACCCAGAAGTGAACCCAAAACTCACATATGTTTTGATCAGGGCAAAGGACAGCAGAATTGCCTATTGCTTTCCTCATTATAGATTTTTCATACAGCCTAAAGTTGACTTGGCTATTTGGCTCAATTTTAAGTCAAATTGAGCTCAGAGTCTGTTAAAACTTTAGCTCTTTTTCTTGATGTGGGCTGCTGTATAAATTCCACATCATCTGCCTCCCCATTTGGCATTTAGCCTAGACTTTTGTTGCTGAGTTGTGTGTGCCTCTTGGTGACCCTGTTGGGGTTTTTTTTTAGCAAAGATAGTGGAGTGATTTGCCATCTTCCTAGCTGGAAGTGCCTGAGGCCAGATTTGAACTCAGGTCTTCCTGACTCCAGCCAGGGTGCTCTATCTACTGAGCCACCTCACTGCCTAGCCTAGACGATCATGAGTTTAGTAAGTTACATTTCCACCTTTTAATAACATTCCCTCAACTAGGAAAAAAACCCAACCCAACAACTATTTTATAGTAGAAACCATGTTTTACAATTTTCTGTGTATTTATTTCACAGTGGGTATCATAAATCTTAATGCATTGTTATGCAAGACCCACAGTTTATTAGACCTGTGAGGGAATGAAAATTGTAGATGCTCTGTGTAAGGCAGTTTAAAATCTGGAAGGCTTGCTCCTGGCCCTAAGTGCAATGTGAATCCATGAACTGGGAAGAGAGGACTGAGATATAGCTGATGTATAGCAGTGATTTTACCTGGCTTCTCCTTGCTATCCTTGACTTTTGCCAAGTTCTAGCACTGTGCCTGGAATACAGTAGGTGTTCCCTCTTCAATTCTATTTGCAAGAGAGGGAGACCCAAAGGATCTTGGACTGAGGGAAAACTGAAATGCCTCAGAACCATACAGAAAGTTGTAGGGTTGTTTTTTTTTTGGGTGGGGGACGGGGAGGTAGAGAACTAATCATACCACCTGCTATGGGTGTGATGACAAGAGATCTCCTTTAGGGTTAGATGTGAATTACAAGGAATGTTTAACCCAAAATCAGGGAGGGGTATAGAACACCAGGCCACACCTAGTCCATGAGCTATGCATGGCTATGGACTTGGAACCCAGTCATCAGTTCCAGTCTAGCAGCAGAGAGAGGATCAAAGACCAATTAAATACCTTCAGGCTCTGCTTATCTGGCAGGCTGTACTTAGTTTCCAAACTTTGGCCCCAGTAGCAAAGAATTTCTTCCGAGAGAAAAATGTCACACCCAGCAAAGACTCCGGGAACTAGCTGACTATTTTTGCTACAGTGATATGGATATGGAAGAGCCTGCCTTCCTTACTAAAAGAGTTCCACAGCTTATGGGCTCTGGCTAGAGGGGAGATGGCCACTCCTCTTATGAAAGGAGGTCTATATGTGAAGACAAGGTAGAAAAGCAGCAGCTCTACAACCAGTCAGTCAAAACAAAACAAAACACAGAGGCTGCCAGACACTTGAGACTAAGGGAAACAGCATCATCTAACCAGACGACATTAGAGGCTTGGCAGTGGCCTCTCCACCCAGGTACTACAGTCACATCCACCCTCTCCCACTGCCCTGTTGTATGAATAACAACAGCTAGCTTCTACATAGCTCTTTAAGGTTTGCAGTTGTTTGATTCTCACACGCATTCAGTCCACAAGCACAGATTAATTAGGCTTCAGGCCCTGGTGCCCTGGTATGTACATGTATAAACAAGACAGAAATAGTAGGAATTGGAGATGATGCACAGAGAGAAGGCACTGGTTGGGTGCTATTATCTCCATTTTGTAGGTAAGAAAACTGAGGCTATTTGTCCCAGAGTTACATTCTATTGCTTCTTTTCTAATCCCGCTATTTGTGTGACCTTAGGCATTACCTATCCTCTACAAACCTAAACCTGAAAAATGGGGACACTGAACTAGATGACCTTTAAGAACGCTTCCAGTTCTAAATCTCTGATCCTATTTGACTTTGAACTAAGTGTCTATTACCCCTGATTTTTAAAAGAGGGAGCTCAAGAGCTATGTGGCTTTTGATGGGGCACAGCTTTTCTGGAAAAGTCCCACAGTTCTAGAAGAGGGTGCCTTCCGTGATCAGTTTCCTTACCTGAAGCCTGGCCCGCTGCTAGAAGGCTGGGCTTGCCGTAAAAGGTCAGGAAGATTTGGGTTGCAGCCCCTCCAGTTGAGAGAGTGCCCCCAGGCAAGTCTGCTGGAGACCACAAGAAGTCCAGGAGGCACGGATTAGCACGAGTGGAGAGTTAACCTTGCCAAGGAAACAAAATACTCCTGTCAAAAACAAAACAAAACAAAACAAAAAACAAACCTGCACTGCACCACTTAAATCATCATTCTAGCATAGGGTCCACCTGAATAAGGCACCTTAGCTATAACGCCTTCAGGGAACTCCATTTTGCTTGAAACCCCGACTACTTGGCTCAATTAGCGCCCTAGCTAAACTACAAGCCCCAGAGTTCATTGCGGCCGCCCCGCTTGAGCCTTCCCTCCAGCGGGCCTTAGGGCTTGGCCCACGGCCTGCCGGGACTTGTAGTCTTCTCCAGCCAGCCGAACCTCAGCTTCCCGCCTCAGCTGGCACGAGGCCCGGAGGGGAGGGCGGGGACCGGGGGTCCGTAGCGAGACAGGCCGGACCCAATGGGAACGGTCGGGCGGGGTGAAGGGGCGGAGGTGCTGGTGAGTCCTCGCCCCACCCCACCCCGCGTCCTACGTTGGTCACTGCCGGGATATGGCGACCGCCGGCGCCGGGGTCTGGAGCTGAGCTGCCGCAGCCAATCGGCCCGAGCCAACGGCTAACGTTCCGCCGCTGCCGCCGCCGCCGCGCGTGCGTGCGTGGTGCCTACGTCGTGCGGGCCGCGAGCCTGCGAGGCCGGGCTGGGCCGGGCCGGGCCGCCGCGGAAGAGCCGGGAGGAGCCAGGGAGCCCGCGACCGAGCGGAGCGAGGCAGTGCCGGGCACATGGCGTCCATCTTACTGAGGAGCTGCTGTGGACGCGGGGCTGTCCGCCTCACCCGGCCCCACGCCGTCCCCGCCGCCGCTGCTGCCGTCATCCCGAGGGGTAAGCGCCCGGCGGGCCGCCTGAGACTGCGCTCCCGCCGGGGTCACCTGAGGGGAGCGACCTGAGGCGGCCTGTGGCCACGGGCGGCCCTTGGGATGGCGTGACCTTTGTCCCCGTGCGCCGGCCGGTCCTGGAAACCCATACCCTTCCTCCTTCCCCGAGGCTCTCCAGCGCCTTGCCTTTCGAGCCGCTCCTCTCGCCGTTCACCGCGGGCCCCTCTCTCTGGGCCTCCAACCTCCCTTCCCCCCATCTCTGCCCTCCCTCAGCCGTCCTCCCCTTCGGTCCTCCCTCCGCCGCTGTGCCCCTCCCTCCCTACGCTCACCTCTCCTTTCGTTCCCCTCTGCTCCCCGCGTCCCATCTCTTCCCTCCCCTTCATGCTCCCTCCCTACGCTCTCCTCTCTTCCTTCCCCTCTGTTCGCCTCCCATCTCTTCCCTCCCCGCCGTCCTCCCCCTCTGTCACCCCTTCTCCTCTACTCTCCCGGTCTAGCCTTTCTGTCCCTCCTCTCTCTATCCTCCTGCTCTTTCCTCCTCTCTGCCCCGCTCACATTTGACCTCTCAGGGTGAGAGACTGACCGTACCCCCTGAATAGCCTGTTCAGCTAGTCTCCCTCTCCGCTTTCGGCTGCTTCCCGTTGGGAAAGCTCCTCTTCGTTCTGGAGGGGACACCTCCTTGTGTATTTCCTCTTTGAACACTTTGTCCTCCCCCCTTTCATCCCATTCCTTGGGGCTGTCACGACTGCTCGGGTGGATGGTTGGCAGCACCTTCGCAGATCACCTTCTACCCATTAACCACAACGGGTCCTTTGCCCCGATTCCTCAGCAGCCCACTGCTTCCTGGTGTACCACACACGGTGCCAGTTGCCTGTTCTCTTCGGCACTTGTGCTGCCTTTTGGCCACGCTGTCCTCCGGATTCCCTTTCCCCACTCGTTATCCTCTTGCCTCACCCATCTCTCCACCTGAACTTTTGTTTTGTCCCAAACTTCTCTGGATTCTCCTCCTTTCCCCTCATATCCTCAGTTGGAGGCATTTACATGTTTTTTCCTTTTGTTTCTTTATTGAAGTCAGGGTGGTTGCTATTCAGATTTTAAACCGTGTTTTATTTATTGACACCTGTATTGGATGCCTCCTGAGGTCTTTTGAAATGAGGGGATTGTGAAGTTTTTCTTGGTGCTGTCTCAGAAGAACTAGGAGCCTAGATTTAGATCAAGAAGAGACCTTAGAGTCCATCCAGGCCAACACCCTTATTTTACAGGGGAGGAAACCTAGATCTTGAGAGGTAAAATGATTTCCCAAGGTCATCAAGTAAGTGGCAGAGCCCAGGTTGATTCCAAACTCTGGACTCTTTCTGTTTTGTAAAAGACAAGTCTCACAATGTACATTCTTAATGTTAGCTCGCTGAACTTCATGAGCAGTGTCAACCCCCCCCCACCCCATTCACTGGTTTTTAGATACATAAAAAAAGCTAGTGATATTTTAATAAAAAGGGTTTGTTGTTCCGAATGTGCAACTCATCATGGCCCCATTTCAGGTTTTCTTGGCAAAGATACTGGATTGGTTTGCCATATCCTTTTCCAGTTCATTTCACAGGTGAGGAAACTGAGGCAAACAGGGTTAAGCAACTTGCCCAGCATCACACAGCTAAGAAGTGTCTGAGATAAGATGAGCCTTCCTAACTCCAGGTCCAGCTCCCTATCCTCTCTGATACCTAGCTGCCTAAAGGCCAGTAGTAAGAACAAACAATATGTAATAAAGTTTCTTCCTTATAAGTTTCTTAGAATGCTTTATCTGGCTCTTACTTTTCCTCCTATTGTATTTTATTTGGCATCATGTTTATAAAAATGTATTCCCCCACCAGATTGTAAGCTCCAGAAATGCAGCAGTCTGTCATTTTTTAATTGCTTTTCATCTTTCAGTGCTCAGTAACTTTTTTTTGACAGACAAGGGGTGTGATTTAATGGTAAAAGGAAAAATGAATAGCATATATGTAGTATCTCTCATTTTATAAACACTTAAGTTTGACAATTAAATTCATGAAAGAAGTATTAATCATAACAAAAGAAAAATAGACACAAATAATAGGAGATAGCAACTCTCCATTATCTGAATATGAAAATCTAACAAAAATGATTAATAGTAAATATTACTAAATATGCAGATCTTAACTGTATATTTAGTAAGTTAGAATCACTTGATAATTAGAAGAAAATTAAATGCGGTGCTTAGTAACTTAACATAGGAACTTACATATAATATGCTCCTTATAGTTTGTTAAAATGAAGTAAGTTATAATATTAGCTGTACTCTTACGAGAATAAGGCTGAAATACCTTCCTCCCAGGGCTAATGTAAAAGTATATGTAAAAGTCAACTTGTTTTTCTCTTGTATTTCAGAAGCTGTTATGTAGGGAGTTGTTATCGGGTTCACTGGCTTCCTTGTTAAAAATATGAAAGGGTGACCTGTTTTGGCATTTATTACTTGTTGCTTTTCAGAAGACCTGGGTTTTAAGACCTGGTGTCATCCTTTTACTTGTAAGGTGGAAAGAAAACTGAATTTGGAGTTAGAAGACTTGGCTTTACTCCTAGCTCTGTCACTTCACAGAATCATAGTAGTCTGTGTTTTCAGCTGTGATCTCAGGCAAATCATTTGACTTTGTAGATCATCAACTTATTGGTCAGTACAGAATAGACACAGAATACTTGTACTCTCCCTTACAAAGTTGTATGAGAAAAGGATTTGGTAAACTTAAAGCATTAGGGATATGTGATTTCTTTTTACATCTCACAGTTTATTTTTACATTGCGTTCAATTTGATGTAGGTTCGTTAAAACTGGCCCAGCTCCTTTGACTAGTTTTTACATTCTTCTGCTCCCTGTATCCAGTGCGGGCTAAGGCAGATCACCGGCCTCTGGGCAATTATTAGTAGTGTCAGCAGCCTCGTGTGAACTCAGGCCTTTCTCACCTCAGGCCTGGGACTCTGGCCCCTGGGTCAGGCTGCCTCTGTCTGAATATATTACAAGAATATGTGATTGGAATAGTAGGTCTTCCTGACTCCCAAGTCCCACAATTGACAGGTCCACTGTGCCGCCTTCTCCCAAGATCATTTTGACTAAATAAACAGTGAATACCAGGAGATACAATCTAGGCCTAGCTAAATAGACATATGGCAAAGATGATCAACTATATTTGCAGATTCACAGTGGGATCCCTTTGTAAGTTGGAAAGTAAGTATTGGAAAGTATGACATGCTTTTATAACCATGTTTGGTTTTTTGTTTGTTTTTTGGCTAGGCCATGGGGTTAAGTGACTTGCCCAGGGTCACACTGCTACTGTGTTAAGTGTCTGAGGCTGGATTTGAACTCAGGTCCTCCTGACCCCAGGGCCAGTACTCTATCCACTGCACCACCTAGCTGTCCTGTGGTTTTTTGTTGTTGTTGTTTGTTTGGTTTTTTTTTTAAACAAGGCTTTTTACCATATGACTATATTTTGAGGGAACTGATTGACTTTGGGAGTATGTCAGAATCTGTAATAATGAATTGTGCTGTAGTAGAGTAATGTTCATGTCTTGAACTCAGAGCCTCCTCTGATACACATTCCCTCAGGTCCTAGAGTTAGCTGGATTTATGAAGGCAGTGCCCATGGAGTGTGGTCTGGGACTGGGCCTACAGAGCTGCAGCAGCTGCCAGTTTCGATGTGATGGCAGTCTCTCTTTCTTCCCAATATCAACCTGGTTGAAGGCAGACAGACTCTTCACCAGATTGCCTGCAGGATTATGGAATTTTTTTGACCACAGTGACTTTCAAAGACCATCTCTTAAGGCATAGAATGGTTCTGGTCTGTATTGGTGAAGGAAGTACCCACAGTGACAAAATTACAGTCCCTTGAAGTTGTTAAAAAAATTTTTCTGTTACTTTAGTCACCAACAAAAACCAACAAAAAAGAATACAGTTTTGCATAATCGCAGGGTAAGGCCAATGAATTGACAAGCAAAAAAGGTTTTATTCTGCATTCTGTTCCAGGTCTGCTTTTTTATAGAACTATATCTGGTTCTGGTTTTCCTGATTGCACTTTCTGAGACTTTATCTAGGTCTTTCCAGATCTTGTATGTTTCATAGTTATTTTATAATAGCACTGTTGTACTTCATAACGATAATATGCCATAGTTGGATATAAGTTAACATTTTTTACCGTTACACATTCACCAGATATAGATATTTTCATATAGGTAGGTGATTTTTTTCCTTCTTTTTTCTGTAACTTTAGCACAAAACCCTAACAGGAATCATTGAATTGAGAGGTCTGAAGGTTGAAGGCACTTCATATTCGTACAAGTGTGTGTATTTTCCTGGTGAGACAATCTGACAAATTTGAACCATTGAACACAAAAGGAATCTTCCTCATCTCATACAGTGCATGTACATGATATGCTCGCTGTTAGATTGTAAGCTTCTTCAGAGCAGGGCCTGCCTCATTTTTGTATACTATAACAATACCTGGCACAGAGTAGGCATTTGATAATTGTTTGTTGATTGATAATAGCAAAGGCATTTAAAGACTTTTCCTGCATATTAGAGATTTTTTTACATTTGCAGTTAAACTGATTGTCATGCTTGACGTTTATGCAGCACTTAAAGGTTGGCATACACATGGTCTCATTTGAATCTCACAACCCCATGAGGAAGATACTATTGGGAGCATTATTTTTGTTTTATATGAGGAAATTAAACTCAGAAAGGTAGTAATTTGTCCGTGGTCACACAAGCCAACGTCAGGTAGAATTTGAATCCAAATTTCTGCTGACTCCAAGCTCTGTCAGTATTCTTTACGCTATTCCCTGCTGTTGCTTTAACAAATGGATTAAGCATTGTAGGCATGATTATATTTAATATTCAAACTATACCTATGGTATTGTGTAAATATTGATATGAGACTGATGTGTATGTGTGGGGAACTCATCAAACCCCCTTAGATTTTTTTTTTTGTTTGATTTGGTGAGGCAGTTG